TAAGGAGATGTTTACACCACGACGTGCCTGAATCCTGCGGAATGTGACTCTCCCCGCAGACTGCAGTTGGTGCTGACAGTCCCGGAATGCGAAGGAACCCAGTCATGGGTCAGGCCCAGCTGGGTCCTGCCGACTGATAAAATTCAGCTGCAAGGGGAAGTCAGTTGGGGCCATTTCTCATTTTAAGGTTGTCGGTGTTTATTAATATGAAATAAAATATCTGTGATTGTTTTGGTGTCTGTGTGTTGGCCTCCGATCTTGCTGATGCTTAGGCGATACCTTTCCTGAAGTCATTTCATAAGCAGTTTATTAACGGGTGGTGACAATTTCCACATGCCCAGAGAAAAACAGTGGTAGGTACTGGTACAGTCCTGCATGCGATTATGGTATGAGGGGCAGAGCCTTCTGCCAGCCTGTTTTGATATCGCAGTGAATGCGGGGTGCAGGAAATCACAGCCATGCTGCAGTCTTGCGTTGGGCCGCACTCCATTCTAAAAATGGCATCTCGGCTAATGGTTACCGTACCTGGTGGTGTTTTGCAGCCACGATGGTCACATAGTTTATTTTTGCTCTTAATTACTGGGGAGCCAGTCTTGCTACGCTGACCTGAACAGCTGGCGCTGAAGTCGTATTTCGGGAGCCTCTCGGAGACCAAACCGCAGATGTTGCACGCATGTACGCAGGCAGAAATGCGACGAGTCAAGGGTTAGAGCGGTCCATCTCCGCTGTGGGTGCGATGCCACATGGACGCTGGAGATGGGGGCCGCAGTTGTCCTGGCAGTACCCAATTCGGCCAGTAACTACCGTTTGCACACGATGGTTTGGGCCCGGTACACGTAGAGCATTGACTCAGCCTGACTCTGTCGGAGCTGCATGGCAGAGCACGATCATGTCAGGTTTCCACCTCAACAAGTCCAGTTAAATCTAGGTTAAACATGCATGTTTATGTGGAATCTCTGTTGCCTGGGCACCAGGTCAACAAGACATGCTCCTGCTCGACGCTCGATCTACCTGCCCCCGGTTGATCACGCCTGTGCTGGGGGGGGGGAGAAGATGCAAGTCAGACTGCAGCCATCGTCCCCCTTCTCGTTACTGAGTATCGGCGAGGCGGGAGGGTGTGATTAGGTGTGACCTCGCAATTGTCCAGGCATGACTACTGGAGTGATGGAATGGAACGGGAAATAAATAAAGGGGAATCTGCTTCTTTTTTTTTCTTTTTTTTCTTTTTTTTTTATTGGCTGTCGTTTATCAGCCAAGTGTAGCCTGGGCACAGAAAGTGCAGTAAGGAGTGGAAGGACCAGGGCAGCTGCTGATGGATTGTCATGCTCTCATATTTGCTTTTTTTTTTCTTTCTTTCTAGGGGAAACAAATTCCACTTCGTAGTTTTGTTTCTCCCCTTTCTCCATGTAAAATAAAATTTTATTGCATGAATCATATTTCTTTATAAATCTTGCATTTGTACTGGGATTGATGAGTGCCATTTCCCTTATAAATAAATGGGCAGGATGGTTTTAGGCTTGGAAACCCTGACAGAAGCTGCCTTGTGTGAATGTTTGACTTTAAGCTGTTGCAAGTCCTATGATGTCTGTCTTGTTCGAAGCTCAAAATGTTTAAGCAGTCAATTGAGGCCTTTGAAAAGTTTCTTTGCACTCACGTGGTTAATTGGCTTCTCATTGGCCACCAAGCCGGGGGGCGGGGCTTCTTGTGGGAGCCATGTGTAATGGGGAACAGATGAGCTCTTCCCCAGGTGCGGGCGGCCATGCTCTGGTCCTCTCCGTTCCTTATGAATGCCGACCCACGTGTCGCAGATCAGAATGGAATAATGAATAGCTTAAAGGAATAATTCCTGTTCTGAAAATACCATTATGTGTGAAATTTATCATTTTTTTTGTCAGCCTGATCTCTAAATAGGCTACATGTCATGGCTGACAAACTTGCCATTGCCAAATTCCTCATGAAAATATTTCCTCTCTGCACACTGCTTATGGAATCTACTTAATTATACAAGGTGTAATGGTTTCTGTGATAATGTAAGCAGGAAACTGTCTTATCTATCTATTCTGAGTTTGGTTCCCCAAAAAGTGACTCATTTATAAGGAATATGTCATTCCCAGGTATGACAGTAGATTGAAAAATCTACTGTTCTGCGTCAAACCTAAAAATATGCTAAATTGAGGTAGCCTGCCACTCTGCAGCCACCCATGAATGATTTCCAAGCTTTTAATAAACTTTGTATGCTTTGTATGGTTTCAGAGATTGATGGGCCTGTGTAAATTAGTATTGAAGAAGACCGTTGGATTGTAAAATAGGATTGGAATGATCATTGCCCATTTTCTCATTTGCCAAGTTCTGTATGAATTCCAACTCTCCTGCTGCCTTATTTGCCCTCTTTTGATTTCCACATTTTGTGCCTGGCCTTCCTGAATCTTCAGTGTGGTGTTTCTCGGCCCTGTTCTTGGGGACCCTCGGATGTCCTAGAGCAGGGTTCTTCAACTATGGACCTCGATTCCAAATCCAGGCCGTGTTTTCAGTTCTCCCAGGTAGTTGTTTAATAATTACTGATTCTGATTGGTCAGAGGCTTCACACCTGACTGATGGGTAAAGAAAGGCTGGAAAACCAGCAGTGCTCAGACCTCGAGGACCGTGAGTTGAATAACCCTGGCCTAGGGACTGGAAAGGAGCTGGGGTGGGCTGTGTGAGGCTCCCCAGGACCGGGTTGAGGAACATCGGTTTAGTACATGTAAGAGTTACATGCACTCTTAACTTGGTTGCTTATACTGGCAGATCCAGGGCAGTGTGCAGAAGAGTGGGTGAGGTAGGTTCTCCACCTTTAGTAGCGTATCATTGGATCCTGGAAGGTTGTTTGACAAACTGTCTGGCCTGTAGGACAGTGAACTTATTGGCTGAGCCTCTCTCGAGCCCATGGTTCTGAACTTGGTCAAACACCTTTGAAGAATTCATTTTCCATACAAATACAGAAAAAAAGCAGTGTGTATAATTTACTAGTTCCAAACCGGTTTGCATTCAGGCTTGTTTAAATCTGCAAGATGAAGAAGGGCAGTGGTAACTTTTTCTTGTCAGATTCCTGCCTATTTTCATGTTTGTGGAGTGAATTTGTCCTCACGGAAAAGCTCCGCTTTCATGTTGCATGGAATCTGGCCCCTGTGGCATCTGCAATAATCCACCCCCCAGTGATGGCTGCGATTTTGGGGCCTGACGTCCCCGCTGTCTTTGGAATCCGTGCCGTATGACACGCAGCAACTTTCACAGATAAACAAGAATGCCAAAAATTGTAAACCAGGCCTCAGGGGCAACATTTTTTCCATTTGTGGGGGGCTATGGGGGTGCTTTTTGTTTTAATTCACAGAAATAGAAGCAGATAAATCATGTTGCTGATTAGACGCAGTGGTTTCATGTCTGGGACACGCTGATGGAGTGCTGATTGCGAAGGACGTGGCTGAATGCTCACTTACACCTTGGGCAGTTTTTAGGTTTCTTCCTTCCCCACAAAAATTCCATTAAACTTGCTCCTCGGACGTCGTGACGCTCGTCTTTGCTGCGTTGCAGCAGAGGCACGCAATGCTGGGGGGAGTCGAGGGACTCCAGGCAACCCACCCCCAATACCACATGCACAGGCATCAGGCAGAGGCCCTCACAGGGTCATCCTGTGCGGAATGCATGCCTGTGCACGCTTGCTGTTGTGGTTCCCACGAAAGCGATGTCTGTCGCAAGAAAGGAGCCATTGTGTAAACTGAAGTGAATGGTGTCCTAAGCGCCGGACTGCTGGGGTTTGTATGGTGATGTTTCTGAGGAACTCTCCTCAGATCCACTGAGTATGACTGTTTCAGCATCATCAAGTCTTTTTTACATGATGAAGAACGGTCACCATAGAAGGAGTTGACCTTTGTTTCCCCCTCCATCTTCCTCTACCTCATCCTCCAAATGGTCTGGAATGGGTCTGATGTGAAGAAATGCGTCATTGTTTTTGTTGCCGATGGAGATGGAGCGAGCCGTCCACTCATCGGCCAGGCTGTAAATAAACCAGCACTCGGCCCCGCTGCACATGAGATGCACACAGGCAGAGCTGGCCTCCAGTCACAGGCCTGATAAGTGTTACTCAAGCAGAATGGTTCTCATTTCCCCTCTAATGGTCTTTGGTGTGTTGGGTTTCTAAATTCGTAGTGTGTTCGTGCCTCTGCCCGCCACATCACTGTCATAAAACGGGTCGGTGGCAAACGACGCTTTGCAGGTCCATGGCTCAAGGCGCCCACCCACCATTGTTGATGGGCCAAACTCAATGAGCATATTGGAAACCCAGTCTAGAACCTTTCTGAGATGTTATTAAATGTCATAATACAATCTTTTCTTATAAAATTGGTATAGTGGGTGACTACATTTTTATTTTTATAACCTTATTTGCACATTCCCCACAGCTGTTTGTTCCCTGCATCTGGTTCTTTATTCATCATTTACACCAGAGGTGGGGAACCTGATCCATGGAGGGCCAGTGTGGGTGCGGGTGTTTGGGACGGCCTCTCAATCAGGCAATAACAGAGTCCCCAGGACTGGAGTTGAGAACCACTGTTTTATTATTCCTGATTGAAAGGTCATCCCAAAAACCCTCACCCACAAAGACCCTCCATGGAACAGGTTCTCCACCCCTGATTTTACTTCTGTGTTGGTGAATGAAAGGAATCTGCTTCTGATCTTCTGTTTGAAATGATCTCTTCCCCTGTATCAAGCCTGTCAGTAATAGCAGCTTGCTTTCCCCGTTCCTGGAGGGCTGGGTTGATTTTTGTAGAATACGTTCGGTTTAAGTGTCTCGCTGATGCGCGGAGCCTCTCGTGTGGCGACTTGCTACCTGAATGAATAACTGCTTAAGGGAATCGATTTGTTGAGGTCGGTTGAAGAGCAGCTCTTTCCCTGTTCCCTGGCAGCTTGGTTAGGTGAGGTCCGTCTCGCCGAGGCTGACTCCCTTCTCTGTCTGTCTGTCCTCCCAGGTGTTGGAGTACACGGGTAAGGGCAAGAGCATCATGGACGTGGGTCTTGCCCAAGCACGTACTTCCCTCAGCCCAAGAAGCCATTACTTTGAGGTGGAGATTGTGGATGCCGGAGAAAAGTGTTACATCGCCCTGGGATTGGCGCGAAGGGTAAGTGTTCATCATCGTCTGCTTCAAGCGTAATCTAATTTGACTGGTTTCCAGTTGCTTCACCGTGAAGAACACCCTGCCCATATTAAGGTAATTTTAGGGTGTAGCATGACCAGCCTCCCATGACGGTCATGGTCTACTTCACCACACTTTAAGCAATGGGTGACGAAGCCCGTTGCGTCGGTGTGGGATGCCGTCTTTGGAAGCTGTCATTCACCTATCACGAGAGAGAACCGGGGCTTTCCGCCACATGCTGGCAACCCGTGGACAGGATGATGTGGTGCTTTATGCTGCAGAAGGCCTGAGAACCAGGGAACGGGCCTTCAGGTCTGCCCTGGTTAGGAAAGGTATAATGAAGGGAACCCAGGGATTTGGGTGTAGACCCATGGTAGGCTGGCACTGTACTTGGTCAGCTTTTGGCCTCTGTGATGGTACCTAGGGATTCCTCTGGAATTATGTCTTTGCATTGGCTTACCATCAACTGAAATCGGCTTGGAAATGGCCTCATGGTTTTATCATCATCGTCGTCGTCGTCATCACCATCATCCTTCTCTCTGGAAGCGGCTCCACACTTGTCTTTGGTTGTACATTTTGTTCTGACCCTTTCCACAATGCCGCATCAGTGCTGAGAACCAAACTCAGTCAAAATATGGTGAAATGAGGTTTGGCTTCCACTAGGTGATATTTATTTTATGTGTCTAAGAGAACACTTTGTCTTGGTGCATTGGGTGTTCCCATGGCTACCATCACTAATGGGCTATTGGGCATTTGACTTGCTGGTGGTGGGTCATCTGATTGCCCTTTCAGAATGGCTTTCAGGCCTTGAGACCAAGGCTGGCACTTGAATCTTGTTTTTCCCGGATTGCTGGAAAAGGATTGAGCTGTCAGGCCCCTGCTTTTAAGGTACCCAAAAGTTTCCTGTCCTCTAGGGATTCTATCGAAGCCATAAATATCAGATTATCAAAGTGACTGACCTGCAGTTGGGTTTTTTTTTTTGGATTTTTTGCTGTTAGGATGCATCCTGCCTAAATACCCATCAACCTCACCCGCTTGAGGATACCATAACAATTCTGTAGCGGAGAGCAGTTTCACTGGAATTTGTCTCTCCGTGGTTAAGACTGATTTGCTGAACTGCCTGGTGTTCTGAGTCCAGAGTGCTTCACGTGGTCCAGAGTGTTTGGGTTTTGTCTGGCAGATATTTCAAACCTGCCAATCAGGCAGCACTCTGTCTTACATTGTTTTTCTGACATTAACAACTTGCCGGGCAGTTTAATCTGTGGCTGTACTGGCCTTCCTGGTCCAACCTCCTCCTGTTTCCCCGGGTTTGCTTTTGGGATGCCAGTGCCGTGGCCAAGGGCATAACTTTCATTTCAACATTGGGGGGGTTGAGGTCTCCACCCATGAACGGGGAGACGTGATTATTGGGGGGTTTACAACCCCCCATCTCCCCTGTAATTTACACCTATGGCCATGGCCGTGACCCCAGCACCCAGCGGCAGATGGTAGCAGAACAAGAATTACAAGAACTGGCGTTCTTTCCGCAAGAGTTGAGTCATTCCATGATAGCAGAAGTGAGTGGATTTATGCTCTGGTTCCCTTTCATGTCACTTCGGGTCAGATGGTGTCCTTTCCTTTCCTTCCGTCACCATTTGAATCTCTGCTTTTTGTTAACTTTTTCTCTCTGTGCCCTCAAAGTAATAAGCACCTCTGAGGTCAATTTTGATTACATATACCGCTTTTCATTACAATTGTTAAATAAGGTCAGTTTCTCGGGTCTTGTACATTAGTCAAAAGTCTTTTGATAAAAAGCGAGGTCACGTTCACACTTGGCGTCAGCCTTTCAGTCAGTCTATAGACTTGTTGTTGGTTTTGTAGCTGGTTTTTTGCACACTGTGGTTAGACCAAGTTTCCAAAGGAACAAGTTTTATGAATAATAAAGCAAATTAAAGAACAATGATTTCATGGATCGTTCAGAAATAAATTATCACCGCTGTAAATCCGTCACGGGCCTGCGGTTATACCCAAGGTCCCTCTAATTACATAAAAATAATAAACAAGCAGAACCTTCAACAAGGTGTTCATCGGAACTAGATTCCCTGGGGTGGCGGGATTACAGCACGGGAGACGTCATTTCTGGGATTGATACGAAAAAATACCAGGACTTGTGGTTAAACTGGAAACTGAAAACCTGGCTTTTAATGCCCCCCCCCCCCACTATACCCCTTGGATACGAGCCGCTTTAACTCCTCCTAGGTAATGGCAGTTAGTGTCTGTACGGTCTGTGGACAAGGCAATGACCTGCACTAGGTGCTATATCATTATCAACGGTCATTTGAACTGGCTTAGGCATTAATAGGTAATGTTTGATCACATAGACTTCCCCCCCAAAAGAGGCTTTGTGTGGTATTCATCCCCGCTGTTCGGTTATTTTTGGGGGTGGGGATGATGGAACGATAGGCAAGAGCATGTTTAGGCCGGTTGCATCGGAGTTAATGGAGAGCTTTATCGCGCTGCCTGAAGGGTGCAATTGTCTTCTGATAAAGAGCTCAGCAGAGTGGCTGCAGGGATGTGCAGAGAAAAAAACACCGTCGATAATTAACAGTGAGTCATCGTCTGATCTTATCAAGTGCGGGTCGTTTTTTTTCCTCCGTGTGTTGGCAGGGTACACCTGTGTTCTTTGTTGTAGTGTTAGTGGGGCGATAGAAGCAGAGGACCACACAGCTGTGTGGGGGGGGGGGGGATGTCACCCCCCGCTCCCACCGTGCCGGAGATGAAAGGAAGCATCTTTTGCCTAACACGCATCTTTTGTCTAACACGCATGTCATGTAGTAACTCTCCTTTGTTTGGTTTGCAGGACTATCCCAAGAACAGGCACCCCGGATGGAGTCGTGGCTCTGTGGCCTACCACGCAGGTGAGCCTTCCGGGTCATAACCCCCCCCGCCCTGATGCACACCATGTTCACAGCTGGGTCAGGAAGTCCGTCAGCATCGGCAGAGTGTAGACAATGCCGGGGACCTTCACACACCCTGGTTCCGTTATTTCTCTTTCTCTAGAGAGCTCCGGTAACCTTAGTCTAGTGGTTGTTGTAACGTGGTGTAGATCGGTGCTTTATTGTCATTGTAAGTACAATGAGCTGTAGAACTGTCAGTAAATTTTATAACTAGGGTCGTTGGTCAACATGTTAGGGTTAATCTTAGTTTTAATATGTTATTTCTTTGATATTAACTTTTTTTTTTTTGGTCACACAATGCTAACCTTGGCACCTTTCCCCTGTACTGTTCTGGTGCTGCAGAGGGTGAAAATACTCCTAGGAGCACAAGCAAGCCATTCTTGCGTTGTCTTGGATCGTGTACAACACGCGCAAGTCGGCTGGCATCCTAGCCAGTCACCTATGTTTGCCTTAAGGTTTAGAGCTGTGGTTAAGGCTGCTATTAGGATTAGAGTTATAGTTAGGGTCAGACTTATTATTGGGGTTAACTTAGGGTTATCTTAGGGTTAGGCTTGCCCTACGGCTTGGAGTTAGGGATGCTGTTAGGTTAGAGGGAATGTGTTCTCCACATTCACATTCACGAGACCTTAGGAAGTAATGACGCTGACCTCAGATTTCAATGCAGATCTGTGATAAGATGGTGTGTAATATTAGACCAAATGGAAGTCTGCATTGGCCACAATTTCCACATTGTCACATCACTAATATAAAGCATTAGTCTCATCTATTGTGTTTAATATATATGGGGAAATGCCTTGATCCATGCCCTAGTATAGTGTGTGTTGAGGGGTGGAGCAGAAGAAAGACATAATAGCAGTGTGTGTTTATTATGTGGAAAAAAGCTTGAGAAAATACCAAAGTTTGACTCAATATGGGTGGTACAGAGGCATGGAATTGAGGATAATTGGGGCAAAACCAGACACCGAGACAGATCTATTGGAATCAGACACAATAGGAACATCTAACTCTGTAATTAGCATTGTTGCCATTGGCAGGGGTGTGGATGAGAAATGGTTCATTTTCACTGGTCATATACCCCCCACCCTGATGATTTGGTAAGGCCTGCCTGAGAACCCATGGGTGACTGAGAGACGTGGCTCATTGAGCACCACTTGCCCCTGAAGAAATCTGCACGGATAAGACCTTCAAGGCTCTCGCGTCCTGCCTTTGTGACACTGCGAGACAGCCGTGGTCCAAAGCAAGCAGCTGCAGATCAGACCACGTTGCAGACTCCCCTTGTCCTTCTGGAGAAATGTCTGCCGTCCCACCAACCGCGTCGAGCACGGCCAGGCCCTTCCGGCCCAGAGAGTGGACGTCTAACAGGAAAACTGTGAAATGCTGTGATAGCTGCCCTTCATTGCTTCTAGAACCCTAACAAAATGTCCACAGCACAGCTAAGATCTTTAAGTCATTTTATTCCAAACTTTGCGATTCCCTTTGTCCGCAGTCCACGGTTAATCATCACTGTCATGCTTTCAGGTCATTGATTCCTCTGGGGGACTCCCTTCCTTCCTGGTGATTTCCCTTCAGTTTTTTCTTCTGCTAGGGGGACCAGAGGTCTTCATTACAAACCCATTACATCACATTTCCATGGGCACAAGAGAGCTTAATGAGGCTTGGTTTTGGGGGAGTGGTGTCTGTAGTTATGGCTACCAGAAATCTTCCAGATTTTGTTTATTTTAGTTTTATTCAGAGTTGTCGTTTATGGAGCTGAATCTGTGTTGAAAAAGTAGATTAACTTCAAATTTGATGGTGGGGCTGCAGATGGCGTAGCTCCTCCTGTGCTGAGACACTTCAGCAGTGGTGTCTCTACTCTGCACTTCAGATCGTATCTGCTGCTGTTCCTGATGTTTGCTCATAGCATTGTGATATTGGCTACACAAGGTTCTCTCAGCCAAGTCCAAGGTGCCCAATCAGTCAGCAGCCAGTCCATTTGTAGGGATCCCACCACCAGCTCTCTGTTTTGTTCAGGTCCTTGGCGACTCTTGTGACCTCTGACCTCTGACCTCTCGCTCATCTGTCTCCTACTGCTCCAGTCCAATGCTTGTAGCTTTGTGCTCACCACTAGCTCCATCTCCAGCCTTTTGTAAAGTCTTCCTGATATGCACATCCCTCTATCTACCTTTCTCTTCTTTTTACATTTAATATAAGGTTGACCCAAGGAATCTACATGCCATGTGTCTGTTTCTGCCATTCAGTCCTCTTGTATGCTCCTGGGTGTGTGATTGTGAACCGTTTCACACTAACATCCTGAAGAGATGAGTAGCACCGTGCTGCTCTACAAACTGTGCATCATGTCGGATTAAGGGGAACATCAGGAGACAGAAACAGTACGGAACTGGGACAGGACAGAGTACACAGTCATTCTGAGGAGGGTCCACTGTATGGACTTGGTCTGACATGAATAGCTATATAGCTGCCCATTTGAAAATCAGAGCCCTAACAGCAACTATGATACGACATGAGAGAAATAGCATTTAAGGAGCCTTTCTTGCAAAACAAGAAGGTCTGTCAAAACATGATAGGGTATTTGTTCCTCTAGTCAGAGGGTTTTCAAATGGGAAAGAAGGGAACAGAAGATATGAAAGGGAGGTCGTCCAGAAGCACCAGGACAAACTGATGGAGGCACCGAGGGGAAACACCTGGGCAGAAGTCAGACCTCTCAGAGCTATTCTCTAAAACAAACATTCATGCAAGGAGCACCTATAGTTGTTTTTGGCGACCTGTCTTAATTTTAGTTTTAGTCTAGTCTTTGCGTCAAGCTGTCATTTTAGTTATTAGTCTTAGTCATGTTCATACTTATTTTAGTCTAGTCAAGTTTCAGTCAACTAAAAGTCTGAGCATTTTAGTCATAATTATCAGAAATCATTAGTCAGAATTATCCATGACTATTTTAGTCTAGTTTTAGTCAATGAAAATTGTATTTTAGTCTCTTTATTTTAGTGATGCAATTCTATTTTACCTAGTCAATATAGTACAAGTACCTAGTAGAATAGACAAAAACAAAATTTTCTTTTAGTCAAACGCATTTCACAATTAAAACAAGGTTCTTATTATTTTATTGTTACCTTAGACTCAAGAATACTCTGCATCCATTCCAGACACGGAAGACGCTTTGATTTGAATTTATAACATTTATTTTGCCAACCAAACATTTTTGAACTTAGAAGTACACACAAATTTAAATAAAATAAATAAATAAAATAATGTTCATCTTCTTGCACGGGACTTGCTTCACTGAAGCTGTTTCTGGAATCTAGCACAGGAATAGATACAATGTCAGGACAGATGCAGCCTCTGGAAAATCTAACTGTTGTAAATATTAAGTCGCATAAATCCTTGCTATTAGGCCTATTTTGCCCTCAATGACTGAAACTATTGGTTGTAATTTGGCTATTTTTCAGCTACAATTGTTTAACAGAAAAAATAGGCCTCACAAGACCATAAGGGATGCCAATCAAAATGCATCATGCTCTGAATAATTCACGAACATCCTTTCCACAAGAACATTATTTCACAATTAGCAGGTATTTACATGCGCTGTAGCCAGAGCATATACCTCTATGTGGATGATAACTAGCCTGGCAAGCCAAACCCACGATGTTCCGAAAAACGCTCTTTCAATGTTTCAAACACTACCCCTTTCGACATATATCTAGTCACGCAGTAATGAAAGCTTGAAAGTTTAGATCGCCAGGATTCAAGACAACTGAGCTGTCGTTCTCATTTTGCTACTTAGCTTTAGCTTGCTAAAATGCCTACATAGCTTCAAAGTGTTCCCTTTACCCACGTATTCTTATCAAACATCTTATCAGAAAGATGTTTTGTACAGATCACCAAGTGTCCATGCTTATGAAATATAATTTTCTCCGAAACGCCTAAACCTAGCAGGATAACATCTATTGCTAACGATAACATGTTGACCAGAGTTGGCATGAGCTTTCTAAAATAGAAAGTAACGTTGCGTTAATGTCTTTACTTACCTCAATGTCATTGTGGAATGCCTTGAGATGTCTTTTAAGGTTTTAAGGTTTGTGGTGTTTTTTCCCGATATTTTGTGGCCACATTTCTCCGCCATCTGTGCGCCGAATGGGGGAGACAGGAAAAAATACTGCATAATAATAATAATAATGCGATTAAACGAGAGGAAATAACATCTCGTTTCGTTTTCGTCAACGAAAATGAAGACATTTTAGTATAGTTTTTATTTTGTAAATCAAATTTAGTCTCGTTTTTATTAGTCAACAATATTACACAATATATTTCGTTATAGTTATCGTCACATGACCAGAATTTAGGTTGCGTCTCATCTCCGTCACGTCAAAAAGGTTCATTGACGAAAACACTAGGAGCACCAAAGGAAGGAGTTCTTCAGAATGGCATTTCCAGGGTTCTTCTGAAGTTTCAACTAAGCTGCAGTTTTCTGTTGTGTCCCGTTCTCCGCACAGATGATGGGAAGATCTTCCATGGCAGTGGAGTTGGGGATCCATTTGGCCCACGCTGTTTTGAGGGCGATGTCATGGGCTGCGGAATCATGTTTCCACGAGACTACATTCTGGACAGCGAAGGTTAGTTGGGGCACGTGCTCTTTCTCATTGTCTGTTAACTAAAGACCACTTCTTTGTTTGAGTTTAATTTCAAAAATGGCTTGGTCTAAATAACTTTAATGCAGTTATGATTTGTACACCTGGTATGCAGTTATTCTTTGTTTTCTCCACACGCAGATGACAGCGACGACGGCGATTCTGTGGAGGTGCGTCCCAAACAGAGAAGAGTCCAGAACGTGCTGTACCTCAACTATGAGGATGAGGAGGAGGAGGATGGCGAGGAGATGGAACAGGAGCATGAAGGCAGGAAGGTCATGGTGAGGACACATTCATGCTTAGATGTTGATGGCAGGAGTGTGGCTGTTGGTGACCCTGCATCCTGCTTAGTTAGGAGGATGAAAGGCCTGCAAGCTGTCAGAAACAGTGTCTGGAAATCAGGTGCAGTGCTGGCACTGACTGGAAATGGTCCTGATACCACATGGCGATCATATGGCGCATGCGCGGTAATCAACAGGGTTTCAGATACCGGGCGTAAACATTTGTCCGGATGCCGGCGTTTCCATACTGTACAGAGGTTTACTTATGCCCGGCGATTGTAAGCAGATTAGCAGTGCGCCTAAAATATTAATGAGGCGTATTTTGACGACCATAAGTTAGCAATCTGTAAAAAATTCAGCATATGTTTGTTTAATAAGTGTCTAACTTTATCCTGCAAAGAGTATTGCCACACCACTGATGTCTGTTTACCTTATCCACAACAATCTCCTATTTTGAAAGATGTTGTGGCTGTTGAGCTGTCTTTCTTCACCGTGACTTCAGTGCTTATCACTTCCATGATTTACCAAAACGGCAGTATGAGGCGTGCACTGCTAATCGAATTTAATAAACATGAGGATATGCTGAATTTATATAGATTGCTAACTTTTGGGCGTCACCATATACATCATTAATATTTTAGGCGTACTACTTACCAAATTGCGGGGATAAGTAAACGTCCGCATAATATCGGAACACCAGCATCCGGACAAATGTTTCGCCTGTTGTCTAAAGCCCTGGTGATTATTGTGCATGTTTCATATAATCACGATTACATTGCAGTGTGATATTGTGCAGCCCTTCCTGTTACCACCGCTCCTGCTCCTGCAGCACACAGAACTTAACCCTTGCTTCAACAAACAGTATTCAGCCAGCATAGTTGAGGGTTGGGCCAGTCAGGTGTCCATGGATCAGTCCAGCAGTATGGAAGCTTTGAAATCTGGGTGCTGCTCTTGTCTGGGAACCATCTTCGTTTGTTTGTTTATTACTCACGTGCTGTGCCTGATCATCTACGACTGGTCACGCTGCGTCACATTAGCGTAGGGGCCTGCCATTGCTTCCAGTAAGAGCTTTTGGCAGCTATGATGTTGAGAAAACCCCACATTGCAGAATAATGATACCCAGATGCAAAGCAGATCTGTCACGTTGAATGGGGCATTAGTTTGTGCTCTGCCAGCCGGTGCAGTAGCCTACTACTTCAGAGCAGTTTCCTCCTGTACTGAAATATGTACGCACAAATGTAAAAATGTGTTCCTGCAATGTCTCAAACCCATATCTTTTTTTCTTAAGGGAGGTATAATACCAAAAGGGACTGATGGTATTGAGACTCCGGCAAGTGACTCACCATCGCCCTCTTGTGCTCACACAGGTGTTCTTCACCCGAAACGGAAAGATCATTGGCAAGCGGGAGGTGGTAGTTCCGTCCGGTGGGTTCTACCCAACCATCGGCATGCTGAGCAGCGGGGAGAAAGTGAAGGTCGACCTGCACCCCCTGAGTGGCTGAGCGCAAGAAATGGACGGGGGGGGGGGGGGGACATGAGCACTATACACTGTCTACAGAGCACCGAGCCAAGGAACTGGGCTGTCACGCCGCCGCTTTGTGCCCTCATAGCGCTTAGCTTCACCTCCACCTCTTACATATAGCTTTCCCTCTTTAAAGATGGCGGTTTCTGACTCCTGTTTTGCTCAGTGCCATTAAGATTATATCTTTTTGTAGCAATTAATAGCAGGAGAGAGAGAGAATTATTTTTTTAAGTTGTTATTTTAAATAGAATTGAATAATTGACATGCCACAAGTTAGAAAATTACCCAAATTCATCATAAATTGATAAGTTACTGAAATACGTGAAATATGTCCGACTAATGGATACAAAGATCAAAATCTGCTATATCTATTCTGGCCACTAGGTGTTCCCATTTCTCTGCTGTGGCTGAAGCATGTTGTTTGGCTCCGTGTCGTTCATTAAGTTGGTCACCGGTAACAGTCAGTGTTCGAGTTACAGCAGCTGCAGTTGTATTTATTTTTTTTATAGATTCTTGAGGTGGGGTGAAAAATATATCGTTAAATATGTCAATTAAATATGTGTATAAATAAAATATATAGAAATCTATTTTTGAATGCACTTACAAATACTGTAAATGTAACCCTCTTAGCACTGTGGGAAACGGCATATAGATCCACATGCATGTTGTAATGATCCTGACTGTGCAGGAAGTGCTGGGAAATTGACCCAGCACTGTTGCCAATAATCTCAGGCTGGTGGTTGGTCACCAGCGAGGACTTGGCTGTCTGTGCCTTCCACTGTGCTATAAGTCAGGATTACAGGAATCGGGGGTCCTGGCCGTCTGGCGCTGTGGCCTTTTGGGTAGATCGTAGCCGTACGTTGGCCGAGTCTTTGCAGTCCTTGCTGCACACAGACACTTCTCTCCATTAACCTGGTCACTAGTGTCTTATCTCTGCTTTTTTATTTGGAGAGAGAAGCAGTAGGATGTCTGTGACCATGGAGGAAGGGCTGATGGAGAAACGCTGGAGACCCTCCTGCAGCTTGAAAGCTGGGCTTTAGGTGCTTTTTAGTTCCTTTCCAGTCATTGTATTTTACATTGATATTATAATCAAAAGAGAATCAGTAGGATTATTTAATTCACATTAAATATACATCTAATCGTAAAGGTTCTATTATCCACACTATGAATGTTGTTTTAAAAAAACATTGACAAAACCAGTTAGGTTGATATTTTGCCATTTTCTATGCTTGTATGTATGTCTGAAATATAAATTCATGATGTTTTGCTGTTAGAAGTACATTATGGACGGATGTCTCTCTTTTTCTGTAATAGTACTTAATCTTACTCATTTCAAGGTCTTGTCACCTAAAGGGCGAATTCACACACTGAAAGGGAACATTCAAAACAGCTCCTTGTTTAAAATATTTTTGGTTCATGATCATTCAATTTTATTAGCACAGGAATCTTACACTGCAGTCGTCTTTTTGTCAAGTTAGTGCACTTCTCAGAACACAAACATGACAAAACACACTATATTGCTGTTACTCATTCACCTGATTTTGGAGAGTTGGTCTGAACTGCATCTGCGATGATTATGGAAACACAAAGCACTGAAAGTTAATGTGTAGACTGGCGTCTGCATTGGATTGTGGGGGGGAAAAGTTGTGCACACCTGCATGGTGTGACTGGAGGAGGTCTCTGACCTCCAGAGGTGCCTTTCACAGAGCTACATGTTCTTGCTGTAGGGCATTAGAGTGCTGGAGCCCCACGGTGTGACTGACTCCTGGTCCCATGTGGGCAGAACTGTCCATTTGCACCAGCAGTTGATAGCCTGCGTGAATCAGCAGCTGGAGCACAAGCAAGCAGAGTGTCCGTCTATGGCTCCCTACAGCATGGAAATCTGTTCCTATGGGAACTGCTGTTTGTCAAATAAAGATGGTTATTTCCATAAAATGTGTATTTTGTGGCATCTTTACTGTGGGTTTTTGTGTTTGATGATGGCGCCACCGTACATCAAAGATTAGGCGCATATTTAAAAGATGGGGGACTTATGAGGGAAAACTAGTGTAACCACAGATTGAAAAGTCATGCTGTTCATTTACAATTATCCTGCATAAACTGAAGATTACCAGCTGCGGAAGAATGGCTGCAAACGGGCCTGGTATCAGCATGGGGGGGGGCTCTCGCCTCACCCCATTTACCCACCTCCATGGGGAATTTGCATAGTTCTCACATGTCCCACTTTGCTCTCCATAAGACACATATATGTGTAAGTGAGAGGATGCGCTGGGTCATCCAGCAAGGGGGGGGGGGGGGCGGTGTGCAGCACCCCTGCAGTGGCTGCTGTTAATAGCTTTGCTGAAAGGCCCAGTGGGAGATACTCCCTCAGGGTTCCAACTGATGACATTTCTATCCCAAAAACCTGCGTACACACCGGCCCTTTGTGGATAAGATTGGCCACCTCTTCTCTAGCCATATTGGATATAGAAAATTAGCCCACTACCTCTATTTCTCAAATGAGCTAAAATAATGTAGCTAGCTAATCAGCTAGTTAGCAATCTTGCTTGCTAATTGATGTCATCGATATTTTAGTAAAAATTATTCTGAGGTGATCAACCTGGTTGAAGTGTCTTTACTCATCTGTTACCAATTGCAGAAATAATCTTACAAATCCTCCAAACATCAACTTGCAACTGGTCTCCCTTTTGCACACAAAAGACCAGACACTGGTGCTAATTCAGGCCTGGGGCTTTTTGAGAGCAACCCCCCCCATGGATGGTGATGGTGAGGACGAATTCTGACGATGACCGGATTCTCCAGATTTAAGTCATCATGCCACATCAGCCTCATGCCACCTCCTTGTGTTCAGTTATGTTGACAAGGGAAACATTTGTGCTCAATTAAGTATTTAAATCTAAATGTCTTCAAAATCCCTTTTAATGATATGCTTATTTTTGTACATTTTATAGCTGCATATACACAGGAAAATATACATTTCCAAATAAAACAAATACAATTCCATGGATAGTTTCCTTCTCTGAAAATTCCCAGAATCTGCATCCTTACACATTGCAAACGCTGAGTTCAGTGTGTTGAAGCAGATGGATGCTTATTGGAAGACCAATGAAGGGCCTAAGGTATGCCGAGATATTGGATCTCAAGCCAGTAAGATACAATTTGAGACTGACTGCATTGCACTGGTGGGGTTTCCTCCTGCAGCCTCGAGGACTTGCAGTTAGGCTCAGTCACGCAGAGATTGCGTCGGAGTGCTTGCGAGCACCCTGTGGCTCATCTGCATCCCATCCTGGGTGTACATCAGCCTTGTGCTCCCCCCCCCTTTGATCCTGACCAGGATAAATGATTACGGGGTGGATGTGCCATACATGACACTTGCCAGGTGTGCTGAGGCTTCCAAGCCTGGCCTGGGTGTCCGACTTCTCTCTCTCACACACACACACACACAGAGAATTCTTCCTGTATAAGGATACATGATAAATATATAATTGCGCTTCTAATGAAATGTAATCATCAAATTGCCAACTTTACCTTGAGATTTCAGCTCTTTGACAGATTAAAACTGGAGATTAAATGTATAACCAATATACCCTTTATTTCTGCTAAAAAGATGAAATATGAATTTCTCAACAAAAAAAAAATCAGCAATTTCTCTAAAATACAAAATTTTCCATCTGTGTATATATTGTATAGACATTTACTAGGAGGGTGAAGCTGTTACAAGCTAAAGCTGAAACTTGTGCAAAAAAACAAAAACCATTTATTAAAAATGCATAGTTTCCAGTTCAGGTCCCTGTATTAAAGTGTCATCAACTTGATTGCTTCTCCCATTGTATAAAACCCCACAGTTCAAATCTGTGCTTCATTTAAGATAAACAGCCAAACCAACAAAGAAATAAAAATAATTTACTTGTAAATTGCTTCTTAAATGTGAGAAATCATATACACATTTTAATCTGATTTTTTTTTTTTTTTTAAGGTAAGCTATTTTTTTATTTTTAAAGGGTTGCAACCACACAACTCATTCAAACTAAATAAACCGGCCAAATCTCTTCAAAAGGCAGACATGAATAAGGTAGCAACACAAATACAATCTATCAGCTGCTCCCAGTTGTGCAGGAGCCACAAATTTGCCTCTTCAATCACCCACAAGAAATCTGAACAAACAGCGCAAGTTAAAAAGAGAATAAATTTCACTGAAAATTATTTAGCGGTCATTCTACTTGAATACTGGAATCTTATCCCCTCACCGTATCTTCAGACCAGATTTTCTTCATCTTCGTCATCATCATCATCATCATCATCATCATAGTGACGGTTCCTCTTGATATGCTCCTCCACTGACACCTCCGTGTTCTCCTCTACTTCCTCTCCGTCCCAGAAGCCAACGTCCTGGGAGGTGTGACTGCGCTGGCTCTCTGAGGGGGGAGACGGACACTCCTGGACATCAGAGTTCTTTTTGTAATTCAACTGCTCCTCAGGAGCGTTCTTCTCTAGCTCCTCCTTCTGCGGTTCCCGTTTCTGAGGCTCTCCATCCAATGCCTGAGGGATGCGTTTTCCTTTCTCCTCCGCTCCTCTCTTCTGCTCCTCCAAGCAGCCTCCTCCATTGACATGGTCGTGTTCCTCCTTGGGCTTCTCAGTCTTCGATTGCCAGACTTGGAGCCTCTTGGAGGTGCCGTCTTGCCTCAGCGAGGCGCTCCTCTCTAGGAGGCCCCTTGAGACACGCCTGGGCTCCCTGGGAGCTGGAGCTGGAGCTGGTGGTGAGGTTCTGCAGACAGCCACAGAGAATGGACGGATGCGCTCTTTGAGGGAGGTGCTCCGACGCAGACTCTTGAGTTCAAGCAGTTCAGGGGTCTGAGTGATAGGAGCGGCATCGCCCTCTGGGGGCCACTTGGCACGGAAAGGCCTTGCCATTCCATCCTCTAACAAAGAGTTTGAGCTCCCGGAGCCCTGGTCCTCTTCCAATGTTGGTGGCCAGGCGATCTTGAGCCTTCTGGTCTCTGCAGGTTTCTCGAAGGCTGGCTTCTCCCCCTGCATGGTGGGATGTGTCTTTATTTCCAGTGTGGCCGCCAGGACATTGACCTTAGCCAGTGGAGCGTCTTCCACCAGTGGGTTCTGCTGCTGGTTGACTTGAGTGTCTCTGCCATGCTCCACTCCCTGCTCCTTCGCCTGCTCCCCACTGCCTTCAGCCTCATCCTCAGGGTGGCCCTCCCACAGCTCCTTGTGTGGACGGTGGCCAAATCCCTCGTCGTAATTCCCCTTGGCCTTGAACAGCTGGTTGAAGTGTGGCTTGCAGTAGATATTGCCGTGCAAGGAAGCGTAGTTTGCCAAACTGACCAGCAGAGGGCGACAAATGCACACAAGGCGTTAGTTAAGGGTCCCTCCCACGCACCTCATGCTGAAAAGGTTAGCCTTTAGTTGTGGCTTGTCATTCTCACCTCAGTTTGGTGCAGCAGTGTGTACAACGAAAGCAGGCTTTATGGAAGATCTGCTGATTAGCCACCAGGCGTTCCAGGGGATACACGGTCTTCAAACATGCCACACAAGTCTCCCGTACAGGCAAGCAGAACTTCTAAACAGGTATAACACATGGCGAAACACTTTAAATGTTGCATGTTCTTGGGGTTGCTACAACACTCCAGCTGACAACCAATGGAATGGCTACAGGACTCCTAGCACATCAAACCTGCTTTTTCAAACAAAAGGTTCTGTGAAAAGCATATGTGAAATGAGCTATTCTTAGACCTTCCAGTATATGGACTTATGGAGTTTTGATTGAAAATACCTGTATTCTATGTCAAGTAAAACCTGCTTGCATTGTTGTGTTTGTTCCAAGACAAACACAATGAAGGATTACAATGACTGCTTTTGGAAGGGAACTCACCCGTACTGCCTTGGACTGGGATTCCGTTTCCATGCCTACAACATAGAAAGCAGGGTGTGATTCCCCAGATGGCCAAACAGAAACGGGATCCCATTTCTTTTGCTTGTTTTTCTAAGATTTTAAAATAATAAAAAAAAGACAAACATAGTACCGCTACGGAAAAGCGATTAACCGAAACCATCATCACCTTGTCGCAAGTTGTTTCTTTGAATGGGGGGGGGGGGGGGGGGGCAAATAATACAGCTTATTCCCAGAACTTGCTTAATGCTGCTATTTAGTTTGCAGGATAATGGTGCTTCAATACTAAATTTTATTTACTTAATAGATGATTTTGTCCAAAGTGTGCACAGTAACCCCCTTCACATTTACAACCATTAGGGATGGAGGATCCCCATGAATGTGAAAATTCGCAAATAATACTTGGGCACCCCTAACCTCAACCCATAAGTCTGCCAGATAACAAAGAACTATTTATTACCAATTTCTAAACAGTACTGTATAGTTCGCACATCAAATTACACCCCCGTAAGTATGAAGTTACTACTGTAGGCACTGGGAGTACCATTTTTTGGACTAACTTTTAAAAAAATAAAAAAATTAAAAAAAATTAATGGCATTGAAAAGTTTAAAAGTTACAGTGAGAAACACAAGATTCCACGGTCACAAGGACAGCTAATAGGCTGAGTGCTGAGACACAGATGCACAGCATACACCAGGGTTCTTCAACTCTGGACCTCGATTCCAAATCCAGCCCGTGTTTTCAGTTCTCCCAGGTAGTTATTTAATAATTACTGATTCTGATTGGGCAGAGGCTTCACACCTGACTGACAGGTAAAGGAAGGCTGGAAAACCAGCAGTGCTCGGACCTCGAGGACCGCGAGTTGAACGACCCTGGCGTACACTGTCAGAACAAAGGGTCCAGCCTTGGTACACTTTTGTTCCCCAAGGTATAAACAGAGTTAATTTCTGCATCTTAAAATTCAAAATTACTCTTATTTTAAATACGGTTATTAAAATTATTCATGGCCAAAATCAAATTCACAAATCTGGAGGAGTATTGTGAGGAAGGAGAGTCAGAGTTCCTGAAGCTTCCCCACAGCGCTGTTGTGACCTGCTCACCCACACGCCGCCCACATAAATGTCTGGGGTTGCCCGTCTCTCCTGGTGACTCAGCTAGTGATACCATGTAGATTCCCAAGACGACAGCGGGAAGGTTGCACATGTATGACTCACCGTTGTGGAATGGGGGATCCTCTCGAGAAATGAGCTCAGAGGACGGGCTCTGTGAGAGAGTCAATGGTCAGAAGGGTACACACAGACACGCTGCAGCTTTCCCTGGACCACACCAGAGGGCAGACGCACTAAGGAGTGCCCTGTGATGCTTTCTCACAGAGCTTTCAATTCTGTCCTGTGTCACTTTCATTTATATTAAGCAAAAAACAATGAAGCTGGTATTAATCACACACAACTGGCAGGAAGCACAAGCGCTGGAGCCAGCCGGCCTCAGCAGGCCGTGGCAGGTTCAGAAAGACGGGGCCTGCCGATGTGTTTAAGCGGGGGGCCACGTCATACCTGCGGACAGCCCACAGGCTCCGCCTGAAGCCCTGCAGTCTGATATCATCCAGCGGGGAAGCCTTTCATCTGAGGAGCCCACAGACCAAACGTCCACTTTCTTTAGTGGACACTTTTCCGTATTTTTTACCTCTGTGTCCTTTATGCACATAAACATGTACATCTGTACTTAAAGTATAACTTTATTGGCATGCATTTAGGAATTCTAAGCAGTATTTAAACTTGCACATCTAGTTTAACATTCGCTGTACTCACTGCACATTTCTGTATAAAGACTAAATCGGTACTCATTTGCAACATTGCTTATAATTAAAATATTCCATTCTATTCTTTTTTTACACATTCTGTGGTCTTGGAATGCACACACCAAATACCACCAAGATAAACTTCCAGTACGTGTAAGCGGACCTGGCCAGTAAGGCAAATTCTGATGACAATTACCGGTCTGAAAGCTTCTAAACTGCATTTAGACGTTGACCTCGCAGACCCACCGAACGCGTTCCAGTTCCTCAAAGCCAGGCCAGGCACAGATGGACACTCACACTGCTTGGAGGGGTGGCTGGTTCCCGCTGGGCTGTTGCCGCCTGGGACTTGGTCATGCCGTCCTTGTCTGAGGACTCCAACACACCCTGGACCCCTGTGAGCAGTGAGGGACACAGTGACAGTGAAGGGACACAGTGACAGTGAAGGGACCACAGCCAAGCAGGAAGGATTCCCCAGCAGCTTGCAGGGGGCAGGCAGATCATTACCCAAATGTTCCTCTGCTTTTGGCAGCTTCTGCACTGGGCTACGCGATCCCGCTCCCAGCCGCTCCACGTCCTCGGAGGTGCTGCTGCTACTCCTGTTGCTTCTCCTCACGCCCTCCGTGCTCGGCTGTGCAAACGAGAGAGCACTGCAGTCTTAATGGCCTCCCTTTTACTGTTATGCGACCCCCACCCCTTCTCTTGCTTACCATATCCATCAGGAGCCACCTCCCCTTGCCCCCGACACACATTACCCACCCAGCCCCCCCCCCTCACACTCTGCTAATGAGCACTCAGACACACATCTAACAGATGTGTGATCAATGCCCCCCCCCCCAGACCTAATACACACAACTCAAAGGCAAATACACAACACACACACTGACGATATGCAAAGACCTTCCAGTGTGCAGGAGGGTGAGTGAAATATGTCACAATCCCCCCACAGAAGAGCCTGTCACACAGATAGCCTTTAAAATTCCAAAGTGACCATCCAGTTCAGCTCAGGGCAGATCAAGGCCTGAGAAACCAAACTGACAGCTTTCCTTCGCATCTAATGGTGAGCAACCATCCGTTAATGGAGCCGCCCAAAGCACAACCTCAGAGACATATTGTAGCAATAAATGTTGCAAAATCCTGGCACAGACTGTAGATTCGTTCACTGTTGGCAGGACTGAAAAGGATTGGGTGCTGGCATCACATCTGACCCGTGTTCAATTTGCGTCAGTCGTTTGCTGCTGCCAAAATTAAAATTTACACTGTGTAACCATGACTGCATGAGCCGATTTCAGTGTCATGAAGTCAGTGATGATCTCAGTGGCAGCTTCTTGTCTCGAACACTGGAACCCGCCGAGAGGGTGTTCAGGGAAGCCCCCCCATAACAAAATGAAGCAGGAGGAGAAGCAGGGTGATCATCTCACTGTTCGGATAAGGACAAAATGCAGGATATTGCAGTCGATATGATTTAACTACCCTTTATCCAAAAGAAAAGTAATTTAATCTGTTCTTAGCAAAAAATATTATTATTAAATGGACCTCAACATGACTCTTAAAAATCCTTGATAATTTATTTTCACTGCTATTTTGAGAACACCCACCAAACTCAGTAAACTAAGATTACTTCATATCTTGGATTACCATCAAGATATGCTCTGGTCGTTTTGCTCTGGGGGGGCTGCTCCAGCTAACAGACGCCAGGAGTGGGGGCCAGTTAAGATCAGCAAACTTCTGCCTGAATCTTTGGCTGTAACCACAGACCGGCAAGGGGATTTACAACATTACAGTAATGGAGAGGTAGAGGAGCTCAGGAAAAACTGGGCACCTCTGAAACCTGGGCTACAAAGCAGATGACCAGTAAGCCAGCATCCATACCAGAGTGGCACTGGTGTGGGGCAGAAGGCTGGGGACCTTAAAGGTCACTTAAAGGGCATGACTGGGGCACATGCCTCAGTATTTACCTGATGTGCCTCAATAAAATCTGATGTTCAAGCTTTAACAAGCTCCTGTATTTGGAATCTATTCATTTAGATAACGAGAAAAGAATGGATTTTTTTTCTAATCCACAATGCCAAAGCAACCCAGCTTAATCTGAAATGGGTGAGCGCACCTTGCATTCCGCAAATGCTTAGTAATGGCAGTACAAATCATAAAGCAAATATAATCATAAGGTAAAAGATGTATCATGATTCATTAATGATGAACACGAGAACAGTAACTTTAGTGTTAATCATGACTTGTTCCTTCAGTAGTTCACAATGTATTAATTCTATAAACCTTTAACAAGCTTGAGAAAGATGCATCATGATTCATTAATGATGAACAAACATGGTGGTATTACTTGTTCCTTCAGTAATTCTGTAGTAGTTCCTTCAGTAGTTCATGAAGGTTTACAGAATTAGATATAGTAACATAACTGCTTGAGATATAATAGGCATCATGATTCATTAATGATGAATTAACACGAGATCAGTATGCGTGACGTAATTTGTGGTTAGTTAATACAAAGTAATAGTATATTATTTGTGCCCCATAAAGTGTTACCTGCATGATTATCTGGTGCACGTGGCGGAAAGCAGCAATCAAAGTATCGAAACAAGAATGAGGGTTGAGGGATGGTCATACAAAGACATAATTTGACTCGGACATTGTTTCCTGGGCTTCTGTACAGCACTGGCAGCCCAGCAGGCTACGCAGGGAAGGCAAATGGCACATTGCGAAGCAAATGTCACACAGCAGGCATTCAGGGGGGAAAAGAAAAAAAAACTGATTTCAGTAACAGCCCTGACAAAGGGCTGATTCCGTTTCCTATCCAATGCAAATGTCAGAAGTGGCTCACTTCCCCTGAAAAAGACCTGGGGTTTTGCGGATACAAGAGAGATAAGTCAGAGCCACAAGCCAACTCAAGGCTGCCTCTAAAAAAATAGTCAAAAGACGCTGTAGCCTGGATGACAGGAAAACCCAGGACTGGCAGAAATCAGGCCATTAATTGAACCAAACGTGACCTGATGCATTCTAGGGCTTGGAATCAGCATCAGCGGTGGAATTTAATATATTTTTGTATTCATAGTATATTCATTGATTGACATAACAGCCCGATTTGGGCTATGTTACAGTTAAGTCCCATATGTTTCCTTCCATCCATCCATGTAAAACGACACCTTTTGAAGGATGATAATTCCTCACGATAGACAAAACTACAGGCAATTTAGAGACAGCAATCCACCTACCTGCATGTCTTTGCACAATGGGTGGACACACACACACACACACACACACACACACACACACACACACACAGAATATGAAAGATCTGATGCAACATTGCTAATATTCACTGTCACCCTACGAACATTCTTTTGCCTGTGTTATGAACTATATTCATAATAAACTATAAGTAAAGTTCTGTATATGCTTTTGAGCATCTGCTTTAAAAGGTGCTTCTCAGGTCCTGTCAGGAGACCCGTGGGAGATCACCACTGGTGTAGAATCAGGATGGGCCTGCTCCACGCACCTTTTCTACCTAATATGCATACAGGTGCCTGGGTGACTGCCTATGACCGGTCACAAAGCCCCGGAGGACGCTCTTACTTCGGTCCGTGGCCCTCGCCCTTGCTCGAACACCATCTTCAGGTCTTCCATGGGCACACTGGGCTTCCGGACCAGTGTTCTGGGGGCTGAGGTGACCTTGGTCTCTCTGACCACATCCGCAGCCTGCTTTGACGGCCTCCTCTGGAGGATGGGGGGCTGCGGTGCCGTCTTGGCCGGTCCCGGGTCTCGCTGGTCAGCGCTGCAAGCTGCTGGGGTCGAGGGCTTCGCCACTGGCGGACCCTCTGGCACCACCCCATGATCGGTACTGGCTTGGGGTCGGGAGCTCAACCCGGCGGGGGGGGGCACGGGCTTATCCTTCAGCAAGGGCTGCTCCCAACGCTTCTTTAGTACGCTTAAGTTGCCAGAGCGGAAAGAGGGGGGCAAGGCTTCAGTACTCTGGGGGGGTTTGGGAAAAGAGGGAAAAAAAAGAAGAAATAATTTACTTCGCTCTTCGTGACATATTAAAAGATAAACTTCAGGAAATTCAGAATAAATTTTACCAATAACCCCATCCAAAGCAAAAAATGTATTAAGGTATTTTTAAGCTCATCAAAAACCCTGCAAATAAGAGCTAATTGAAAAAATAAATTGGTCACTTTAACTGGGGAACTTAAGTCTGAACTCCACTTCATTGACAAGTCAGTGTTTACTTGCCACAAATGAACATAACTTATGTTTTATATGCTAATTTGTTGGCTCTTTTCACACAGAATGAAAGGACTATCCAAGGAAAACGTGCAGGAACACCCACACCCCCAGCCATGAAGCTCTTCCTCGTCCTTCCCGTCAGCACAGTCACACAGGAGAGTTAATCTCAGCAATAAATTCGGCATAAATCTGGGCAACAAAACTATTGCGTCAACCAGGCATTACAGAGCATGACAAAACAATCCCCAGGAATTGGAGGATTAAAATAGCCCACTATTTCCATTCCTATTGTGCAAAAAAGGTTGTAGCCATTACGTTATGAAAAGTGTACAGGCCACACCATTGCATACGTTCAATTCCTCCTCCACATTCTGAATGGAGCAGAACGGCGGATGCAAACTTAGCATGGACTCTATCAACAAACACAGCACCCACATCTCAATCTTACAGCCCAGCAAGCATCAACAGGCTCCACGTCCCTCCAAGATTATTATAGCAGATAGATATGAATAAGAACCGTGGGTGTGGTTCATTCCCTGTAACATTAAGGGGATTTCAAATATTCCTGTAGCTATTCAACAGGATATCAATGTCCTGCACTCAACAGGTGCCCTGTAACTACTTCAATGTTAATGGTTAAATATTTTTTTTTACTTAATACTAATGAAATATTTGATTTATAGCGCTTTTGAGTTTTATTGACTTTTGGCTAAGCCAACAAAATGAAAACCTTCGGCAGGGAAAATGTTTCATGGTAGATATTTTCAAAACATTGTAAAGCAGGTGAAGCAGGGAGGCAGAGATTATCCATCTCAAATTGTGGTAGGAACTCTGGACAGAAAATGAGTTTCTCACGAATCACCCAGCAAGGGAAGCTTCTCATTTTTTTGTTCTAGAGAAATCTGATTATTGCCAAATCACCCTTACTCTTCAGACTGGTATATTTAATACTTGCCATTTTCCTCTTCTCCAAGTTTGTTTGTTCTGCAGCTTTCTGGTATCTATGGAGCATGTAGGGTAGGAGGGAGAGAAGGAAGACGGGCGTTAATTAGGAAGTACGGACAATGAGTTTTAAAACAGGAATCCTGTGAATTACCAGCTGAGCCCCCTGCAGCCCTGACCATTACTGCTGCTGTGGGACCAGCATCCCCATTATCCGCCAGAAACAGGTTAACTAGATACATAAACCTGAAACTTGAAATTTGAAACCAAGCAGGGATGTCACTGCCCTCTGGTGGTCAGGAATGGTATGTTTTTTCTAAAAAAGAGGTTTCTTGCTGGAAACCATTTCTGAATTTTTGAAAGAAAAAAAAAAAGGATCAATGTAATTTAGTTAGTTAAACAAAAAAACCCCACCACCTGTTCACTGCTCCATATTTCTATGTTCCATGCTTCTTTTACGCAGTTCTCACGCAGGACTGGCTCATGATTCCTCACTGCAGGAAAAGCTCAGCGCCTCTCCTGACCCCTCAGGAAGAACTATTTTGAGAAGCCATGGAAACACTGCATTCTTAAACATTAAAATGGCTCTCGTCACGCCTAAGGAATGTGGGTCATAAATGTAGTTACGCAATGCCTTATTTTACATATAATAGTAATGATCATTTACTGATATTGTGTTAAAAGGGCAGTTCCCTTTTTGCGTTTGAGGCAGGATAAATGCAATTATGATATGGCAGCCTGAGACTGACGTCAATGCAAAGCAATGCATTTTTAATGCGATAAGAGCCTGCCGGCCTTCCAATGCACGGGTCCTAGAGGCTACTGCAGGGTGTCCTGAAACATGCCAGAGGCACGTGCCGCACGGGAACCCCAGCCACAGACTGTTATTGGATCCACACCAACAAATTACAATAAATGGACTCTGATGGGCTGATTTCGCAGGCTCACACAGGAAGGGTTTCTCATAGGCTGCAACGGAGTCAGTCATGATACAGGCTTTTCTGGAAAAACCTGCTGGCATGCTGCTGATGAGTCAGAATAGACCTTTAAAAATTCAGAACAGGGCAGCATTTAAGTAAATGTGTGTGTGTGTGGGAGGGGGGGGAATAGCATTTAAACAAAAAGTATAACAACCAGCAAAGTCAAACATGTAACACAATAGACTTTTTAACCTTTCATTTAGCTTAGAAAAGAGCAGTGTTTCAGTTGTGCATAACAGCTTCCTCCCAGCTCCCTGTCAGACAGCCCACATTTTTGCTCCCTGTCAGACAGCCCACATTTTTGCTCCCTCTCAGGTCCTTACCAGGTGTGCCCTACCGGGAGCTGGGAAGAAGCAAAAACGTGGACTGTCTGGGGATCTCCGAGGACTGGTTTGAGAAACACTTTATTAGTGCCCGATCTACCACTTCTGTAATGATCAATTCCATTAACCTGGCAGTAAGGATCATTGTGAATGAGAGGAATGTCCTAGAAAGACAGATTCTGGGTGTGAAGCATCAGCAAGGCTGTGAGGGTAAGTGGACGAGTGCTCGTACTTGGAGAAGCGCTCTGCGATGGCGTTGCTCTGACCACGAGTGCCGACCAGAGACAGCTCCCTGGCAGTGATGCGGAGCGACTGCGATGCCCACTGCTTGCGGCTGAATGGACCGGCCTCCATTACCCTGTCTTCAGGACTTCTGTGGGGGGGGGGGGGGGGGGGGGGGGGGGGGATGCATTAATGGATGCATTACCATAGGATCCAACCAGGGTTGCACTACATTTTCTCTCTTAACAATGAGACACAGAGCAAGATTCTTCCCACTTTCCTGGAGTGCTGACAGGAGAACAAGACAGTTCAGCAACTCACCAAACTGCAGTGAATTAAAGGGCCAATGCTGACGAGACCCAGGACCAGATGTGGAGGGACAGCGGCACTGAAAAGGCAAAGGAGAGGGGCGATCACCCAAGGGGTGACTCACCACTCCCTGCACAATGGAGCACCAGTCAGGGCACCAAGCACAGACAGGAGAGACCATGAACAGACACGGGATTCCCTGCCTGGTGTCAGGCTGCCAGTCTGCCTATGCACATGTGCATGAGGGTATAAAGCAGTGGCCTGATCAGAACCCAAGCAAAATAGATAAGCTTTTTAAGGTTGCCGAGAAGACCCCACCCCCCCAAACAAACAGCTCTTTTAGCACATTAAAAAGCTGCAGAGTCATTGTGGCTTATTTAAACAGCCCTATTGTGTCACACTTAAGTGCTGGATTATTCCACCGCGCTCAGAGGACCTAGGCAGCCCGGCATGCCTGCCCTTCCGTCAACATGACACACTTCCCACTTCAGCTACGGCACAGGGAGATGAAACATTACGCTGTCACTCGTCTCAGCAAAAACGGCACATGAAATCTGAGGCAGCAATAAAGATGAGTATGACGGAAGCGCCTTCCCTTGGCGGCAGCCACTGGCGCTCGCAGGATGTGTGACGTGAAAGGACAATAAAAGAATAAATAAAAATCACTGCAACAGAGCCAACACTGCAAACTTTGACCGTGCAAACACCCCCCACCTAGTTATGGGAGTGCCACAGGCAAGACCCAACCCAAAGTTATGCCCTTGCCTGCGTAATTAAATGCCTGTGTTAAAGTGATTAAATGCCCAGACACTCCACACTGCAGAAACTCCCTTGTTTGTTTGTGTAGGACATCTACAAATGAAACATGATGCAAGGCTTGGGGAGGGGCATTCGAGATGTGAGAGTGAATTTTTACAGTTTATAGTCCTCCAATTTCACATCCAGTAGCCAGGTGTAAATACTGCAAGGTCGGTCCAGTCACCATAACTAAATAATGTCTTTCCACTCAACACATATTTTCAGTGGAGAAAAAAAAGATGCACTTCAACAAGGAAAAGACCTCTCTCTCTCTCTCTCTCTCTCTCTCTCTCTCTCTCTCTCTCAGGCAATAAAAGAACAAAGACAGGTGACATGATAAACCTGTAACGTAGGGCAGCCTTCTGCATGTGCACAAACATAACCCGCTTTGTTACAGGCTGTCTGTCACAGCAGGTATGTATTTTAAGAAAATTAGTACAAAGGCAAAGAAAAGCAAAAGCGCACCTGCAGGTTCCAGCGGCACCATACAGGCCCTAAAACCACGAGTATCTCCAGGACAGCACCAGAGATTCAGCTTCCTTGAAAATGAGAGAGTGGGCTGAGCCTCTCCAGAAACCTCAGACGGAATGCAGGCGTTCCTCCAGGCCAAGTGGAATTTATTTCTTTGCATTTTAAGGAAAAGCACAATCCAATGAAAACAAGAGCAGCCACAGCTGGGCGAGGGAGACCGACCCGCTGTCACCTGATGCACGGCCACGTCTGCAAGATGGACAGCCCCGCTGCCCCAGGGCTTTGAAACCAGCAATTCGGAGAGACTTAAGCCGGCTCCAAGAGACAAAAGATGAACTATGCACAAGCTCAGTCCAATCAGATCAGCAAGACCTGATCCACATCTCCTTAAAACAACAAAAAGGCAAGGGTGGTAAGAAATGTAAATATAGCATTCTCTCTAGAATTTAGTTCTCTTTCCCATAAAAAAACCCACTTTGCAACACAACAAGACCAGAATCCCTTGGAGCTCCCCAATACTTTTGCAACAAGATCGTTTAGAATTTCCTCTTGTAGTCCTGCTGTTCTGTGGGGCTTGTAGGGTTACCCAGTTCTCCCAGTTTCATTAGTGGAGCAGCTGCGTCACACAGAAGCCCTCGGTAAGACGAAAGCCTGCTGCTGGTTCTTGAGGTGGGATTCCACCAAGAGTTGCTTCAATTTGGTCATCACCAAAAACGTCACAAAATGCTCAAAACAATGTGTTCAGAAGTTAACAGGAAACATCTGTGTTTTCAAAGAACAAAAACGTTCTTTTTTGTATCTTTTGTCAGTAAAGATACCTTTAGATTTGTATTCCAGGTTAGAATGCAAATATCAAATAGGTCAGAGTACATTTCCTTAATTTGACTGAGATATTCAATTTTTCCAGTCCCTATACTATTGTATAAATATTCTCATATTTTTGCAATGAATCATTGGTGCTTCAAACACGAGCTAGGATACAGGAAACTGGACCATGGGAAGAACACTGGACATTGCAGTACCCAACCAGAAAGTTAAAAGCTTCATCATACTACTCACCGAAGCAAAACTTCCCACATAAATAAAATTTTGGTGGGCTTGACCTCCAAGTCCTTACTGTTATATTTATATCAAATATATTTGACTGAGAACTACATGAACAACATCCACAGATCACCACGGAAGATCTTTCAGAGTAATAAATGGTACACAGGTCTGTGATCAGTCTCACACATCAGTTTCATTTCACAAAAGGTAAAGACAAACAGACAAAAACACACAAACACCATAAACTTACTCTTTTGCAACAACAAAAAATATGACCATAGCCAGTTTAAATTTTAGTATTTAAGGTGATCACTGAGGTTATAGAAAAATAATAATAAAAACATACACACAAAAATTATACGAGAACAACAAGGGAGAGAAAATGTTGAGCAGTTTTATTTATCCCTTGTTGACAATACAAGTTTTAAAATGAACTTACACACAAATTTGAACCAACTGTAAACCCGACCGTGTGTCGCCAAGCAACCACCTGTATTTACTTATTTTGTACTGAAACAGAATCAGGAATGCTAGGAATGCTACCTTCCTCGTTTTAAACCAGCGATTGCTTATATGATGTGAAAACTTTTCTCTTTCATTTGAGTTTGCAGCGTACCATCTGTAAGAGAGTGTAAGAAATGCTACCTTCTCCTCCAACTCACCCTTCAGAGCTGGGTGCTTCCTGATAGTACAAATCAACAAAAACGGCAGCTTTCCGCTTCAACGTTCCCTCGTTCCTCTTTCACTTCACGGCTTCATGCAGCTGCTGTAAACTCCGCAATACCGGTGCGCGAGAATGCAGGTGTGGGCGTTCTGAGGGAAAAAAAAGGAGGTGGAGGAAAGAAAAAGAAGGGATCAGGTGACTTCCTCAAGAGTAACACGCTTCACCTGCCAGGTAGGAATCACCTCCCTGCTGCCGTTGTTGTTTCTGTACTGGAGGCATGCACGTGTAATGGAAGCTGAATGGAGAGAGAAACTGCAACACAATTGCAGGTAGAAGTGCTTACAAAAGCTTGAATTTAACAAATAAAGACACACAAACTGACAAAAAAAATGCCCAGAAGATAACACAGGCCAATAATTAGATGCTGTGAGGACTGTACTTGACTCTTTAAAAGGACAGTGTGGAAAACGTAGAGATGACAAAAGGGACAGTTGGGGAAGGACGGCCAACAGAATCAACTAGAGCACTGGAAGAATCTCAAGTTTCTCTTTGCAGAGTGAAACTAGACCTGAAGAAAGGGAGACCTCCCCAGGGGCTACGCTCGACTCTTTGGTACTGCAGCGAATTAAACCACATTAATGCGCTCGGAACTGGCTTGAAACAGCACAGAGGGACCTAATGAAATGCTAATGCTCAAACTAAACCTGAAACAATGCTCAAACTAAACCAGCTTGTTTTCGCCCCACATAGAAATGGAAACAGTTATTTTACAATATTAATAATATATTTATTATGTATCAAATACTTTAAAGGAAGCATGAAAGAATGATGGACAACTGATTTAACCCTTAAAACTGTCTGCCAACCAAGCAATTCCCAGTTGTTGTAGGGGGATCTTATATAAAAGCTCATCTTTTGCATCACAGACAATCATGCTTATATAAACTGATATTTCACAAAACAAAAATAAATGCGAAGGGAGCCAACAGGATTTCAGAGGTCACCTTGGCAAATACCTAGTTCTCTCTCACTTTTAAAATATTAGAATTGACTACTGCAGAACAAGTAGAGCATCTGACATTAAAAAAATAAAATACCAAACGCTCCCTTGCTACACTACACTAGTTGTTATAGGGAGATAGAATTCACTCATAAATATTTTAAAAATGCACCAACACCTTCATTAAGTACGAGTGGCTAGTTTATTAGGTACACCCACTGACTAATGCAAATATCTTGACCCGCCAAAGAATGAATTATTTGGCTGCAGCTGAATGAATACAATGCATAGACAGGGTCAGGAAGTTACTGTTCGATTAGGCATTAGAATTAACAGATAAACACATCAAGAGGCTGGACAAGCTGGTGAACAAAGCCGCATCGGTGCTGGGCAGGAGGCTGGACTAACTTAAACAGTGGGAGAACGGGTTATGGCCACAGCCTCATGGTTGGGCAGAGCAGCAGCAGTGGTAAACGGCCTCTCTCACTGCGCTGCAGAAGGAGGTCCTTTGTCCCCACTGCAATTAGACTTTTTAATAGTGCTCTCTGACCTCATCCTCCCATTCCACCCCCTGTTGTTCATCTATAACTGTATTATAATTAAGGGACTGTGTTATATGTAATATGGATGCATTTTAGGATGTATTTTAATATGCAATTTATATCTTTATCTTCATTAGTATGTACTTTGATTATTTTTGAAGGAGCTACTGGATATCCAAATTTCCCCCTTGGGGATAAATAAAGTTTCTAAGATACCTAATCAAAGAGAGTTTGAAAGCAGCATGATTATTGGTGCCAAACAAGGCGATTCTAGCATCTCAAACACCCAGCATCTTTTACACACACTACAGGCTCTAGGGTCTGCAGTATGTGCTGGTGGCCTGCAAACACCTTGTTAATGAGAGTGGTCAGACTCAGATCTAACAGCTTGTCCACAAGTGCAATAATAACAGCTCTGTACAACAGTAGTGTAGTAGAGAATGGCTTCTCTGACTGAACAGCTCATTCGTCCTTAAAATGGTTCAGGAAGAAAAAGTAAGTCCTACCTGGAACTAATTAGGTGCACCTACTATCGTGGCCATTACCAATAATTATACAGACAAAGGTGCTTCTCTACACAGAACTGTACATTTCTTGGGCTGACTTAATCCTCCCTGCTGCTGAGGTTTGATAAGGATAATTAAAGCCATGAATTCAAATCTGCTCAATCTAATAGTCCCAAAGCAGATACAATAATAACTCAATCGTAAAATAAACTAAACATCAGAAGATGTATAGTAGATTAGATCCAGGATGCCATTTTTATTTTACGCCATTTCACAAAGTTAATACTCAGCTCCTTAAAAAAAAGAAAAAAGATTTTAAATAATTTAATAAATTAAAAATGCACTACATGCAAAAATAGGAAAAAAAAAAAAAAAATCACACTTGTCATATCAATTTTTAACAAGCGTAAATGTGTCCTTTTAAAATTTGCCCAAGGTTGGGCTTTAGTGATCAGCATTCCTTTGTTACCTTCATCTGGGCCACACGCACGTGTACACACACACACACACACACACACACACACACACACGTACACACACACACAGGCAGGGATTGTGCCCATGCTGCAGCAAAGGGATGAGTCACTGGCAAAACACGGGAGTGAAAGGTGCTTTTATTCTGCTGGAGACAGTCGAGGCTAAACAGACAGCAAGATCCCCGAGACTGGATCAGATAGCTCCTCGCCAGCAGACTTCAGCTCCATTGTGCAAGTTGGGACACTGAAGCGTCTGTGCTTTCGGAAAACGGGCTCCACTTTGCATGCAAGATAAAGACAGAGACTTTCCTGTTGGGTGATTTGGCTAATTTCTCTTACCCAGGTGGCAGGAAGATTAAAAGAATTCACTAATCAGGATAAAGTTAATCATTTTCCCACTAAAGTAAATATGATTGGTACACACAAAAATGAGGGGGGTGTGTTTAAAAAAATGTTTATTTTTTCCATTCCATACATCTACCAATATACTAATATTGAAGACTTAAAGACCTGGGTCACCCTTTGAGGAAAACCCAGGTTTCAGTCCATGCTGGAATGCTGTCATACCAGTGGGTGCAGTGGGATATTAGATCATTTCCCAGTTATTTGAGGGAGGCAGATGGTGTAAACCTGCTATGCTATGCAAACCTGCTATGCATTCTGCATTCCAGTGCTGGTGATCTGGTGACTGGGGGAGGCATGGAAGATGGTCCTGTAAAATAGTCTAATATACCCTTACATAAGCATACAGAGTGATAAACAGACCAGATGACTGCCTCAGCTCTACCATTACCCCCCCCCCCCTCCCTCAGATTGTGGGTGTTCTGTATCCTTTGGTTCTCTTCAAATGTAAAACCTTCCAGATAAAGGAAAAACCGTGAAAAATGACACAAAATGACAATATTAGTTGCCAGTCATTGAGACTGGGTCACAAACGTCGATTTTGAGTCACCTTTGTGGCGTTCCACATCTATGCTCTTAAGTGACCCAATCAGTGACTCAACTTGCAACCACTGGTCTGTCGGCACAGACCGCCCATGTTTTTGTGACCGATTCACAAGCACCGACTATTTGGCCTCTTGTTAGTTCCTGCAACCCTGACCAGGATAAACGGTTGCAAAAATGGATGAACGGACCTCTTGTTGCTTTGAAAAGTCACTCATCAAAATGCTGCCACATTAATCTCACTAGCATTTAGCCTATTATTTATGTTATCTGTCATAATCATATTTTCACTACCCCATTAACCCTCATTTATATTTAGTGCATCTTCATGAAGGAGTTCCCAGCACAGCAACAAAAATTTCAGCATTCAGATGTCATATGGAGTGAATGATAAACAAGACACTTGCAGCTCATATTTGCAGCTGCATTTGCAATTGTGATGTAGTTACTTCAGAGTTAGTCTTTTGCCATTTTGTCCTCTCCCCTGTATGCAGCGACTTTCAGTTCCTCGTTTGCCACACACACAGTGCAGCGGACCACTGAATCTTATTTTCTTAGTCACAATACTTTCTGTGAAATACTCCCAGAAAAGAAAATAACCATTTTTGGTTTGCTTTCCAGCCAAAAGCACATACTGTAAAGAGAAACCACACAGACCTCTTGCATGCCAGTAACCTCGTGTGAACTGGTGAAATATTTTAACTCGGCAGTTAGTTCCGAGTGTAAAAGGGGAAATATAAAACTGACTATGACCATCGTCCCATAACCCTGACCAGGATGAACGATCGGTAACTATTTAATTTTGGTTTCTAATCCCAAACATTGCACAATATCCGTGTCGTGCAAGATTAAACAAGAACTCTTAACATTCACACTATAGTTTTCCAGGAAGTTCACTGACCAGACAGACTCGTGTCACCACTGATACCATTCCATAAATAACGTACCAATTAAAACCACGTCCAAAAGACGACTAAGCAGACAGGCATGATATTTCTAACATAGATAATCTGAGGAGGAACACCACCTTTGCGCGTTGAGGAGATGGTGTGCAAGAGGCTACTTTGGGAAACGCGAGGCCCGAATAACGCAGGCAAACGAGCACAGCGCGACTTCACAGCGGCGCCCAGCGCAGCTTCACAGCGCGCCGCACAGACACGAGCCTCTGTATTCCGCACGTGTCGCCCGCACGCAAATTCCAAGCACGTCTGCGGCTTCTAGCATTTAACAGCCGTAGTGTTAACTGTGGGAAAAGTGCAACACGTCCACCTTACGTTCAAGAGAATAAGAACCGTTCTTTACATCAGATGCACCACAGTAATCCAAAACGGTGGCTTGTGCCCAGTGTTAAAATTATAAGATACTTGTGTTTCATTTTTTAAACAGCAGCGAATTAACGTGCACGCACTCTCGATAAAACGCACTCAGTTTTAAAGTTGGTATGGATGATTAACTTTAACCTCGCGTTTAGATTGCATAGTGAGCCAGCTTAAAGGAACAGCTTCACTGAAGCTTTGCACACCTGACTGACATACTGCAAGTAAAAACATCCAAAGATACAAACACCAAATCATTCATTTAAACTCCGTCGTAGTGTTGTCATAAAGGTGCGTGTATGAAAGTCTAGTAGTTCGAGGAAAACCCTGTTAAGTGATCGCCGTCAGAAC